TATGTATGTATGTATGTATGTATGTATGTATGTATGTATGTATGTATATGTATATATATGTATATATATGTATATATATGTATGTATGTGTATATATATGTATGTATGTATATATGTATGTATGTATGTATGTATGTATATGTATGTATATGTATGTATGTATATGTATGTATGGTGGCAGCCATCTTGAATTTTGACATGGCAACTCAGTTTTTGACAGGAACCTTTCTTATGTCCAGACGCAGTCTCACACAGAAATAGAAGTCAGTCCCTCATTTATTCTTCTGGAGGTTACCACGCTCACAACACAGACAGACAGATGGACGGTTATTTCCATTCCCCTCATCGTTCCATGTCAATAAACCTAAAGAGTCAAAGTTAACTTTTGTCTCAAGCCTCAGATTCAAGTGTTTGAATCAAGCTGTGTGTTTAAAGTGAGTGTTGGCTGTGAGCGACGAGCAGCTCCTCTCCAAACATCTTTAACAAGACGTCTGAGGGAAGACGCAGGATGGATCAGAGGATTGATTCTGAGCCGCTTCAGTGGAGCGATATGAGCCGCAACACCAAGTTCCACGCTCCTCGTTCAGAATAAATATTAATAACTGCAGGCCGAGGGGTAAAGAGTGTCAGTGAGGTCTCAGAAGGAGGGATCACTGGAACTGTCCATCTGTCCGAAACACTGGACGGACAATGAGAGCTCCTGCTGTCTGTCCTCGCTCCATCATCGTCTCTGACTCACTGAAACTTTGATCCGATGCTGTAGAAAAACTCCTGACAGAACCATGCTGCAGCTGGGAGCAGAACCCAGCGTGAAACTCTGAGCTCCTGGAGTAACATCTGCAAACACCAGGCGGATTTAACAAAAAGACACATTAAACCTGAGATCTTCTTCATTCGTGGTGAACCCTACGAGCAGCGAGGGGTTTTTCTGTCACTCGGAGGCTTCCAGTTTAAACCGTTCACCTCCGACTCTTTGTGGGAAAGAAAACGAGTTTTTCCAACATTTGAGGGGAGATGATGCTCGCGGAGGTAAAACTGCAGGTGGAGTAGAGGGTTAAAGGAAGGACACAGCTGGGATTCAAACCCTGAACCTTCTTGCGTTCTTGCCACCATGGTAACTGGTAAATGGACTGTACTTCTACAGCTCCTTGTGTTTGATCAAGACTCAAAGATCTTTACAACAACCTGTGCCTCATTCACCCATTCATACAGCTCTCTACTAGATCTATAATCAGAGCTTTATCACATTCATGCACTGATGGGACACATCGGAGACAATGAGGGGTTCAGTGTCTTGCCCAGGGACATATTGGCATGTGACTGCTGGTGGAATTGAACCCCCAACTCTCCCACTGGAGGACGACTGCTTTAACCACTCATCCACAGCCGCCCCATGCAGCCAACAGACCTTCAGATGGGACAATGACCCACCCTACGATGTAAACAGATCAACCAGGACATGGTGGATGTTTGTTAGGAACACTTCGGGCTCCTCGGTCCTCGTGAAGGACCGTGAGACCTCATGGGGTACAGAGGGTCAACATGGAGCCCCATGGGGGACCAGGCTTTGGTCTGAGACAATGTGAAGCCAGACTGGTTTAGTGTCTCGGCTACAACCTGATCCCCACATCATGAAAACAAAGAGTCGTGTCGGCACGGTGAGACGTTCGGACGCAACGGTTCCTGAACAAATCCTCACCTGTTGTCTTCAAACCCTCACCTGTATAAATGACACTAACCTGTATAAATGACACTAACCTATATAAATGACACTAACCTGTATAAATGACACTGACCTGTATAAATGACACTAACCTGTATAAATGACACTAACCTGTATA